CCATAAAGAGCATGTTATCTTTTGTAAGGGCTTAAGTGCTTGAAGATTGTGCTGCAGTAACAGGGCAGGCAGAAAAGCCTGAAGGCTGGGGAAAAAAGATACCTTTGATGATTTTTAGAGGGGTATAATCTCTAAAAGTAGTCTTTTAATAAGTTATCTTGAAGTTTGAATTTAAAGCAAAATCCATGGAGAGATGGCCCGTGGGCTGCATGGAGTGAGTGGAGGGAACCCTGCTGGGGTGTGACAGTCTGGATCCTGGCAGACCATCAGCAAGAGTTCCAGGTTTGCTGGGGCTGCTCAGAATTATTCATTTCTTTCCACCTGAGCATCAACCTTTGCCAGTTCAGCAGGTGTTCTGAACTGCCATCGAGTCTTCCAGGTTACAAAATCATCAAAAATACCGAAATCAGAGTGTTCCACGTGTTCCCTGAGCAGTTACAAACATCAGCAACCACCAGCAACGCTTTGGAACGTCCTAAAACCCCAAAGAAGCACAAAATCCCTTACTTTTCCTCTCCAGAGAAACTGGTGCTGCTGCTAACTGGTTTGAGTGTATTCTGTGAATGTTGCTATTATCATTATTCAATACATTCCTTCATGCAAAAGGAGAATTCTAAAATCCTGAGGCTTATTTTTGTATGAGCACTCACATGGGAAGGAAATGGAGAAAACAGTTAAATTTCTAAAGAGCTTTGAATTTTTCAGACACTCCCTAAGTGATTTTTCCCCCAGGAGTTATTTCTGAACAAGCAACGTGAAGTTTAAACGCTGTCAAATGCCAAAGGATGTTTTCTTCTAAATGAATGCTAATTAAATTAGTAGCAAAGGTAATTACAATGACTTTAAATTCTGGATGTATTACGTGACATTCAAATGGAGACAATTAATATGCAGTATCATGTCTTTCTATATTGATGTATTACCATACAATTCTTAATTGTGCAAAGTTATTAAATTAAGGTTCTGTAATGTTGTGATTGTCCCCTTGGTGTCTCTTCTGCAGCTCCTGTGCCTTGACCTGCTGCCTGTGAAGCTCCTGGTGGCACAGGCAGGTGTCCCCATCCCACAGGTGACATTCCATTGCACAACATCTCCCTGAGGGACATCGAGGGCAGCACCAGCCTTGACCTTCAGATTCAGCCATATCACGTCCCAGCCTCAAACGTGCCAGCACAGGTGGCAGTGCCAGCACACAAAGCCTACTTCAAAGAGAGTAAAACAGTCCTAAAAGCCTATTCTTCAGCCTTTGTCCTGTGCCTGACCACTGCCACCTGCCAGCTCGAGAGAGGGGGGCCCTTTGTGACCCCAGCTCATCCTGAAGCAGCCCCTCACATCATGTGGAAACAATTCCCAGCCTGTGGCTGGACTCATCTCGGGCAGCTGTGGATTCCTGCCCCTTACTGGCACCTGTGGCACGAGGCCTCTTCCCTGATTTGGGGCTGATGACTGACACTGTGCTGTGTTCCAGGCTCACACACGAGGCTTGGGGATGTACACTCTATTTTTGGGTGACTTATTTTTAATTTGGCTTCTGTGTTGCACTTATTGCTGCAAAACCCCTGGCCTGCACTTGCCATTGCCGTGCTGCCACCTGGCACCCCAGCACTCCAGGAGCATGAAGCTGTGTGTATGTTATGGATGTGTATACAGGAGTCTCTAAGATCACAGTCCTGGTTTTTCTTTTTGCTCTGCCCTGGACTCTGAAATGATGACATGAGAAAACCATCACAACTGAGACACCTAAAAATATTATCTCTATCTCCCCAAGGTAGTCAATATGCTTTAAAATGTCAATAAATGAATTTTCTCCTATTAAAGTAAGAGGGTTTGGATGGTTGTCTCCAGGCTGGTCTATAATACTGACAGCAGGAGCTGGTTTTGGAGCTCTTGACTGACTTTGATGAACTTTACAGGAGAGTCCGAGCCTTAAACCACAACTATGTCTATTCCTTCTGGCAAATCATTTCTTTCCTCCCTTTTCTGGCTGGAAGGAGGAGCTCCCCACACCCATCTGGGTGTATCCACTGAGCTTCTCACAACAGCACCTCACCACAATATCCAACCACAGGACAACAATCTATGGGCATCCAGACACAGGGAAGCAAGTGATCCCCTCACCTGTAAGTGCTGCACCTGTAAATACATTTTAAAATTTACCAAGGGATAATATTAACAAATTCCCAGTATTGCACTTATCCCTTATTTAAAAGGCTTAAGATATTATATCCTCTTCTCCTTGTATAAACCAATTGAAGTTATATAATGCATGTGGATTTACTTTGCCCCAGTTCCAGCTGGCAATGCATTGCTAAGCCAAGGCTGTACCACTGCAATTTGGCAGAAAACAGGTCAGGATTTCGTTACACGTCAAAACTCCCAAACTGTTCCGAATATTCCAAATTAAAAAGGCAAACAGAAAACAACCCCTGTGACAGAAGGATCTATCCCATTGCCTTGCTCAGGACTTCACAGTGGGGGCACATTTCGTGGGTTCTGTGCTGCTTTTGGACCCAGGCAAACACGGGGCTCTCCAGCCCAGAACAGCCAGCAGAGGAATCTCTGCAGCAGAGCAGGCTCCCTTCAGCCAGCTGAGGGACATCACTGCCCCTGCAGCCTCTGCCAGCATCTCCTTTGAACCAGAAAGCCTGTGGAACTGCTCATTGCCCTGCAGCTCAAGGGCAGCCCTGAGGTAACCACCAAATCCACGGATTTCCAGCCTTACCCTTCCCTGAACTCACAAGGCCAGTGTTGCCCCTGAACTCACAAGGCCAGTGTTGCCCCTGAACTGTGTTGGTGGTGCTGCTCTGGCCAGGTTTAGTTTGCCTTGTGCCTCTGCACTGCTCAGCCACTTCCTGGCCTGACTTAATCCTCTCAACAGCACTTTTTAGCATAATTAGGGCTCTTCACTAATTTGCTGCTACAGTTGACTCCAAGTTCATTGAAGGAGACACCAGAAACACAAAGAGCCTTTTTGACTCTCCACTGCCAATGTGAACAAATAGCAAGGGGTCTCTAATAAATCATGTTAGTATTTAAACCAATCAGCATATTGGGTCTTTTAGGAAAAATATCTTCATAATGACATAGATCTCAAACTAATTACAGATCTCAAATTCTGGGACTGCCTTTTACCAAACAGTGCACCCCAAAATGCCATACCCTGGCTGTGTTCTGGTTTGCACAGCCATTATTTCAGGGCTTTAGGAGCCTCTGTTAATGCTGTGCAGACAGGCAGAGGATCAGTCCCTGGGGTGGTTGTGCCAGGGGCACAGCACAGCCAGCTGTCACACGCCAGCTCTGGGACAAACCCAGAGCTGATGCACAGGCAGAACCACAAAGGTCACAGTCACAGATCACTGCAGAGAGAAGGGAAATCCAGCTGGACCATTCCCAAAGTGAAAGCCTTTTCTGTGTCTGATCCATCCTCCCTCACACACAGAGTATCTTAAATACAACCCAGAGCATGTGCCAGCACCAGCAGTGACGTGGAATATAAACTCCCAGTGTCCCTTAACTCCCCTCACTCTACTACTTGTAGGTACTGCCCTTGGCTCCTTGGCTTCACAGAAAAGCATTCCCAAACCCTCCCCTCTGCCAGGGAGGCGCTTGTAAGAGTAAGGGTGGCTCAAGTCTGTCTAAACACTTGTCATTTATTAACTTGCTTTATGGCACCAGCACTACTGCTACAAGGAATTAGTCATTTATTTAGTCCTGCCAGTTCCTCTCCTGTCATAAAATTCAGCCTCCTGTACAACACAGAGCAAATAGAACAATTCCCCTGTAGCTACTCAAACTGGATGTGGAACAATTCTCTGAACAAGACCATGGTTGTGTGGGCTGAAATCTTCCAGAACTGCAGCAGGACTGGGGATCATTTCCAGAAAACATCAGAAGTCCTACTGAAATCCATCCATATTCATCATATTTGTTATTTGTGTCTCCTGATACGTGACAACTCATTGCATCACAAATTAATGGATTTTCACTGCCAGAAATGCATTTCCCCAGCACTTCTTTGCACACATGGATTGATCCTTTCTCCCTGCCAGCTGGATCAGGATTGCTGCCACACACACAGGGCTGGAAACAGTCCTTGTATGGACAAGGCAGACCTGCACTCTCTCCAGGTTTATGATTCACTAAAGCACATTTGGCTACAGAATCACTCATTTCCTGGCTGGCACAGGGAGAGGGGCTGGACATTCCAGTGAAGCACAGTCTGAGGAGGGAGCCAGGACAGGTTAAGATAAGGAGCAGGGCTCTCCACGGTCTCTCCTTACAGGAGAGATTTTACTGCTGTTTCACAGAGTAATTTGCTCCACATGCAGGAAACATTCCCTCTTCAGTCTGCTCCCCTGCACCAAGGGATGCCCAGCACTGCTGGAGGCCAGGGCAGCTCAGCTCCCTCAGTGATTACCCTGGAATCACTGACTGCAAGATCCCAGCTCCTGAGAGGAATCCTCAGCCACTGCCTTCCCGTTTCACAGCCAGGACTCAAACTCAGCCCTTACTTTGAATTAAAGAAATAAACCCCAAATATTTTTCTCTGCTGCCATATCCAAACACACTGCAATGCCCTAAGCAAATGCTGAGGAGATAAATTCTCTCTGAACGTGAATGTAGGGAACCAAGGATGACAACAAACCTGTTGATCATCCAACAAAACTGAAGCAGGACTGTGGGGAGTACACTTAGCCCAATATTTAGCTCAAGATGAAGGAATCCTTAAGAAAGCCAGGGTTCACTGCATTTACCCAGCAGTCCTGCCTTCAAACAGGACCCAACACTGCACTCCTGCCACAGTGGGAGTCATCAGTCATGGGAAGTCAGATGACACAGACTTTTCTATCCCTATCCAGCAGTTCACAGATTCAAATACATATGCTGAGATATTTTTCCACCTCCTCAGTTTCTGACACTTCCAGGTACAGGTCCCCTTGCCTTTGTTCTACAAAGAAGAGAAGAGAGCTGCTGGACCTGCTGATTTTATTGGCACTTACCCTCCATGTTCAGAGCAGGGGCTGTGGGAGAGGGGCTTCTGAGAGCTAGCCTTTGTTTTCAAAGGCAGATCCATTCACGTTTATCCCACTGAGGTTTAATCTGAGTACAATATTCTGCATTTGCCACTCTGATTCTTTGTTCCAGTTTCCCCAAAGTAAAAAGATTTGACGAGGGGCCAAAAGAGGCAGAAATGTCTGAGCGAGTTCCAGCTGCACCTAGAGAGCTCCTGCCTGGCTTTGTGAGGCTCCTGGTCTCCATGGTTACAGCAGTGTTGGAAAACAACCACGGAGCGTCACCTCAAATGCTCCTGCCCCGAATGCAGAGCGGAGCTGCTCCCGTGCCCCGCTCTGACAGCCCAGTGGAGCGTGGAGTGTGGCTCCTTCCCTGCTCCCTCAGGGTGTGCTGGGCACTGCCCACGCTCTGGGCAGCCCAGGGTGCACATCAGCCCCAGCAGCAGGGTCAGCCCCCAGGGCACCCCAAACCAGGCCCGGCCTCCCCCCTGCTCGCTTGGGCAGAGAGAAAAGCCCAGGCAAGTCCCACCTCTCCCAGGGGCAAAAAGTGCCAGAGGCTGAGGGAGCGGCTGGAGAGCTCCAGCCAAGCCCTGTGCCAGATCCAGACCTGGGGGCTGAGAGCTGCTAATTAGGCCGAGCACACAGAAGGTACAACACATGCCTGGAAAGCTGAAGCCACTCCACAGCTCGCTCCAACACACAGCACATTTTGTTTGCATTTAAAAGGGCAAAGAACAAACTCTCTGATTCAAAGTAAAATAAAAAAAAAACCCAAAACCAAATAACCAAACCCAAAACCCCAAACCCAAATCCCCAACCATTTCAGAGGCCCCAGTTCTGCCCCACCCTGCTCACTGTCCCAGCTGTCCCGGGAGCAGCAGGAGCTGGGATGGATCCTGGGCAGGAAAGGACACCCACCATGGAAAGGACTGGCCCTGCACACCGGACACACAGCTCATCTCTGCCACCACATATTCAACCCCTCTGTGGCTCCTTCTGCCTGCACCCGGGGTGTGAATACGACCAAGAAACACGTGTCACCCAGGTGGAGGGGTGACACCAGACATCTCTGCCAGACCCTACCTGTGCCACCCAGCACAGCTCCCTCAGCCTTGGCCCCTGAAGATGCTGAATGCTCTGGCAGGGCAGTTGTGTGTTCCTACCAGCAACCCCCCTGCTGATCAAGGTGTAGTAAGTGCTGACAACATAATAAATTCACCAGTGCAGAGTGACACATGCCAGGGCTGCCACGTGGAGAGGCCACGTGGGCAGCCCAGGGCCAAAAAACTCCAAACCTTTTCACAGCTGGACGTGGCACTCAGTGCTCTGGGCTGGTGACAAGGTGGGGATCGGTCACAGGTTGGGCTGGATGGTCTTGGAGGTCTTTCCCAACCTATGGAGAGATGCACAGCTCGTGCCAACCCAAACTTTGCTGTGTGACTCTGGGGAGCTCAGGAGCTGCAGAGCCGCCTTTGTCAGGGGATCACATTCACATCAGACGGGCAGCCCTGGGCTCCCTCAGCTTCTGAGAGTCCCCATCACGTTCTGGATTGGTGCTGGCAAGGTCTCCAACGATCTGGGTTTCTTTGTTCTTCCTTATTTCTTTCAGGTTAAGAGAAAGCAGCTGCCAGTGCATTCAGTGCTGGCAGCAAAGCCCTGCCAGCCAGCCTGCCTTGCTGGGAAATATTGGTAAACACGTGCTTGTGGCAGCACGGCCAAGTTAACAGGATCTTCACTTATTATCCTGTCATTTCTGGGGGGAGAATATGGCATTGCTGTCAGATCCATCTGCTCAAGGCACAGCCATGCATAGAAATCACCTCGTCTCACACATGGGGAAAGGGTCTGGAGAAACCTGAGGCTGAGAGTGAAGGATGAAGAGAAGATCTGTTAATAACAACAGAGAACTCAGTTTAGATAAATGACTGTCTGAGAGCAGCCAGGGTTTGTTCTGGTGTGGAGGGGGTGAAAATCTTGTCTCTCTGGCCCAACACAAACAAGATTGATTGTGGTCTGCACAGATCAAAAGTTATCCCCAGCTGGGATCATCAGAGATCAGGGAGGAGGCAGAGGAGCACTGCTGGGAAATGCCCTGGAAGGAAAGCCTGTCAGAAGGGATCGATCTAAACATTTTTTTTAATCAAAAATTGACAAATTAACCTGATCACTTGCCATAAAAATCACTGCTAGTGTAGTTGGAATAACTTCCTTGGAAGGAGTGGTATGGAAAAATGAACAAATGCTAGAGAACCTTCGAGGGCTAAATATATACCCCTATTAATATTCCATTGTTGTTTACCCTGTTACATCTAAGAGGTTGAAGGAAATTTGCTGGGCAAGAGAACAGTTGACTGAGTGGTCTCCTCAACAAAAGCAAAAGGTTTACACTGTGTCCTGCTGGGGGGTGAAAACTGGGAGCTGGTAAAGGGGTTGTGTTCCTGTTCCTGCTGCAGAGCAGAGGCCTCTGCAAAATCCCAACTGGAGATCATATTTTGGCCCTTATTAATCAATCCATCAATCAATGGTTTGACTAAATCTAAAACCATTTCAATACAAAACGACCATAAACCCACCCAGCAGCTGCAGCCTCTGCACTCAGCGAGCCTGGCAAGGCTTCTGTGGCTCAGCCCCAGAGCTGCCACCACTGCCCACAATTCCAGTTCTTCCACTTGAAAACAAACAAAAATACATTTGATGTGTACGACCAACAACTCAGAATTTTGGCCTAATTTATCTTCTTACACAGCTCAAAGCAACTGCCCAGAGCTCCCCGTTTCTCCAGCCCCCATTCAGAGCACACTCCGCTGCTGCTGTGTGAGTTCCCCCTGCTGAGCTTTTGGCACCTCTAGCACGTGCAGCAGAAGCTGCTGCCAAACCCCTGGCAGAGAGGAGCCATTTCATCTGGCTCTGGACCCTGAATTACTGCTGAAAGAAACACATCTTTGAGTAAAAAAAAGGGCTTTTCAGCAAGGAAATCAAAGAGCCAATTTCTGGACATGTGTGGATCATCCCTTTTGCCTGGGCTCCTGCTGTCACATCCAGCAGCATTCCTGCTGCAGGGCTGGCTCAGTGCCTGGCATGGACACTGAGCCTGGAGACCAGAGCCAAAGGAGGCTGCTGAGGATTCATCTTTCCAATTAAAACCTATATTGATTAGTAAATCTTGGTTTATCTCATGAAAGCACACATTGGCTTCAGGGAGACACGGAAAGATGAAGTCTCACACTGTTTTTGTGGGGAAGGATCCCCCTGCAAGAACGGCCTCGTGGCTCCAGTGTTCCCACAACTCCAGCTTGAACTCCCAATTAACTTCAGAGAGCACCCAATTAGGAACAGGCCCCGTGCAGGAGCCAGAGCCTGGAGCCAACACACATCCAGGTGGGGTCAACCTCTGCCCACCCACAGATCAACCCAAAACTCCTAAGGATGATCTTCCAGGATTAGGAATCAGAATCATCACAGAACCTCACAATGGTTTGGGTTGGGAAGGACCTTAAGACCCCTCCCATTCCACCCCTGCCCTGGGCAGGGACAGCTTCCACCAGCCCAGGTCGCTCCAAGCCCTGTCCAACCTGGCCCTGGACACTCCCAGGGATGGGGCAGCCACAGCTGCTCTGGGAATTCCATCCCAGCCCCTCACCAACCCCACAGGGAAGAATTCCTTCCCAATATCCCATCTAACCCTGCTCTCTGGCAGTGGGAAGCCATTCCCTGTGTCCTGTCACTCCATCCCCTGTAAACAGTCTCTCTCCATCCTTCCTGTAGCCCCTTCAGGCCACAATTCAGTCACCCCAAAACTTCTCCAACAATCCCAGCTCTCCCAGCCTTTCCTCACAGAAGCACTTCAGCCCTGCAGTTGATTAATGCAAAAGCCTCGTTTTATGCAAATGATATGCAAATGAGGGGCTCACTCAAGCTAGAGGAGAAAAGTGGGGGTGCAGTTGAACACTACTGCTATTTATTTAAATTAATTCAGCAGCACCTTAAGAAAGCCAGGCATGTTGTAAATATTGAACAGCTTACTCCCAAGACAAAACTAATACAAAAACATTAATGACCATCTTCCTTACTTGGCATCACCTCTGTCTGGAAATCAGATATGGAAAAGTACAAGAAACCTGAAACACGTTTTAAATCAAACTTCCACCTCTGGTACCTTTGGAACAGCTTTAGATGGACCAACTCTGGGCAAGCAGACAAGAAGCAGACCCCAGCCCAGCACACATCTAAAGAAACTCCAGTTTTTACTGACTCACCAGTTACATCCCAAATCTGCACTAAGTTAACCCAAATTTGGCAGTCAGTTGTGTTCCCTCCTTCTGCTGAACTCTGCACTGCAACAGGATTCACTCAGATGAAACTAAATTTTCATCTTACTGAAAAAAAAACCTAATAGTGCTGGAAATAAGAAAGTCAAACTAACATGACTTGCAGCACTCTGCAACTCTTAGATTCTGTTCTCGCAGCAGTGTTCATTTGCAGAACTTCACTGAATTTAAAAGCATCACTTTAGACAAATACATCTTTAACTGAAATAGGATTTTGACTATAAATGTTTAAGATGTGAAGTACTAAATTAAAGAATCCACTTTAAAAAGCCTGTAAAGTTAAATGAGTGCTTGGAAACTAAGCATGAATTAATCATCTGCTTCCAGACATCTGTCTCCCTTAAAAATGTGCTTCCTTAAGACTATTACTCCTTAAAATGGGATCTACGGACAAATTCAAGTCTATACCCAGATGTACTTTAATTAACCATCCAACTGATGCCATCACAGAACATCACATGGGCTGGGAACAGCAGAGCTCCAGGGAAATCTCTGTCACACAAAGGCCGTGGAGTGGATCTAATTCCAGGCTCTGTCCCCAGGACGGGTCCTGACAGGGAAACAACAAACCCCAGGAATGTTTTATCTGAGCTGGGGGGTTCTCCCAACACCTTCTGCTCTCTTTTGTCAGTGGGACCAGCAAGGTGCCCTCGGTGGCACAGCCTCAAGGATGTCACACCCCTCTCCCATGGGTACAGAGGTGTCCCAGCCCCCTGTGCTGACCCAGAGCCAAAGTTTTGGGCTGT